TTATTTATTTGTAAAAAAACATTTATTTTAGGATTCTAAAATGAAAAGAGATCAAAAACTTTCAATCTTTTAAAAATTATTACCCTTAGGTATATTAATTATTAATATGTTAAAAATAATTTTTTCATGTAATGTATCAAAATTATTATTCCTTATGATTGATTTAAATTTGTTTCAAGTATTTTGTAATAATATTTAATCAGCAATTTAGATAATTTGGTTTTTGCCGGTTTTTACCAGTTTTTGCCGGTTTTTACCAGGTTTTTGCCACTGTCCTGGCAAAAACCCCTTTTTGCCGGCAAAAACTCCAACCCTGCTTACAAGTAAATGAAATTCAAAAATACTATATCGCGATGCAAAACTGACGATGCATCATGATATAAAATTTTTAATATCGCCCAGTCCTACTCAACACCAAACGATTAATAGCTAGTTACATGTAAATCTTGTAAAAAAATTCGGAAAACATGTCTCGTTTTAGGGATAAGGGAAATCTCAGTAATTGTAATTGGTTTATAGGTCGAGCGACAAAGAGCAAAATGTCTTACTTAATGCATACTTGAACCAAAAATAGAATAAAGAGTGTGAATTTAAAAGTGTCAGAAAGCGTTTTGTTTTGAATAATAAATTAAGAAAAGGATTTATAGAAAAGGATTAACATGGAAGCTCTTTATGTTATATATATATATACAAAGAAACATGTGAACGAACCAGTGAAAACATGCAGAAAGCAGTAATATCTTTTTGTTAGTATTCCACTAAGTGACAAAATTTATATCTGCTACAGCATTTTAGGTAATTTTAAAAAATCAATTTACACCCAAATTCATCCACTAATGTATTATAATATTCCAGTCTTTCATAACATTTCCTTAGTTTAATTAATAAATGAAATATTTAAATTAAACTAATACTGCATCATTTTAATCAAGTGCACAAAGCAGTTAGAATGTGATTTTAACACTCATTTAAATCACACTGAGATAGATGAACATAATTAAGAATTTGAACTTAAGATTTATTAGTTTTTCAACTACAAGAGAGAACTCATAACAAAATTAATGTAATTCATTATTCAGCATTTACTTTTAAATTTTTTGGTGGCATGTATGTATGCATGTAAACATTATATACATAACTTTCAAAATTTTTTCAAACAAAGAAATTGGCATTAAATGAATAAATAAGAGTCATAAATGATGTGTAAGATTAATGAAGTATGGCATACTCACAAACAGGAAGTGTTTTGATCATTGATAAAAAGTGAATCGAAAGTCTGTAAACAATATAGTGGATTGCATCCATTGATTGAAATTGCACCTGTGGAAAAAGAAAAATTCAAAGTGAATTATTAATGACTAAATAATTCTCGATTATATTAGTAAATATAATTATTGAAGCAAAATTTTTATGAAACATATTTTTTATAGTTTTTCATCATTTTGTATTGATTTAGGTAAAATTATGGGGAAATTATTATTTTTAGCATTTTAACAATTTCTAGTTACAGCAAAAAACACTTTTTTTTAAATCTGCGTTCAAGGTAAAATCTCTTCAACAATGCTCATTTCCATTCATTTTGTATATTATTATTATTTATTTTTTTTTTTTGCATACTTTTTTGTAAGTTGTTTTAAAAAAATTTGGAGCTTTTTAGGAAATTTTAATTTTTGAGTTCACCATCAAATCTCCAGAATGACTATCATGGTTGTAAAACGTAATGGTTTAAAAATTAAAAAAAAAAGAATAAAAAAAGAAAGAAAAATAATAAACTTATTGCATATCGCTAAGAAGTATATAGCGTCACGTGATATTTATTCCTAGCATGTAAAAGAAATGATTGCGCAAGGTGTCACTTAGCAAACCAAGCTGATTTTTTAAACCATTTTAAGGTCATTAAATAATATACATAAAATTTTTTGGCTATTCTGCTTTGATTACAAAAAGATAAAAATTACTAAAAAATTAAGTTTGGATCAAAAAAATTATTTTTTAAAGAAATTGTAGAAATTTAACTAACTAAGCAATAACGGATAATAAATTTCTAATTCTCGTCAGTTCTAAGTTAGTAAATTAATATTGTTCTTTTTTAAACAACTACTATTTTAGATAATGTTCGCAAAATAGATAGATATGTGCAAAAACGTGGGAATTTATGAATTTTTTTTTATAATAGAACTTTTTTACTGATAAAGTTTAATCTATTAGTTTTAATCTTTAAGTTGAGAAAAATCTTCAAAAAAAAAAAAAAAAAAAAAAAAACCCACATGGTTAACTTTGCTGTTCATTTAAGGGGAAGGTAAAATTTTGCGACGTATTCAAGGTAAAAATACAACGAAATGTCACATAAAAAAAATTCAAAATGTGTGCGACACCTCATAATTTGTCTCCGATAAATAAGAACACACCCTTTGGAAATTACGGACGCCCAAGTTCCATTTCAAATCGACAATTTTAACGAAATTCAGCCATATTTAAGAATAACAATTATTCAAAATTTCGACATAAAACGACGTGTATGTGAGGTCGATAATTCTTCCCCCCCCCCATTACCAAATATGTTAGAGAGTTGTTAAGCCCGAATTGTTTTAACGTCGATTTCCTTCTAAACGTAAATAATTCTAAGTCAAATTTTGATAATTATACATTAAATCAAAGTAACATTAAAAAATAAATAGGAAAAATTTAAATAATAAAAATTAAACTATGTTTCGAAAGAGTATCATAATTATCCCAGTGACTAATTTAGAAATCTGGGGCTGTAGGCGCAGAACTGTCGGGGGTCCATGTGTCGTAACTTTAAATGAAATTTACATGTATAATTCAAAACTACGGAATATGCATTTAAAATAATTGTAACATTAGTAAGATACATATTATTAAAATTGAACTCAAGATTAATTTCAAATTTTTTGACTCGTAATTCTAGTACACAATTCTAAAAGAAGAACTCAAAATAAAATAAAAAAATGAAATTTAAATCAATCATATCTTAATTAAACCTTGGGCCTTATGATAAATCAGGCACTGAACATACTTATCTAATTTCTTTCATATATTAATAGCAATTCACGCTATTTTCCACACTCGCTATTTTACCGGAAAGTAAAGTTCTTTTTTACATTATATTCAATCAGATAATTTTTTTTTTTTATCAAGTTTTAATTTTAAATCCATGACGCAATCGCTCCCGTTGCTAAAAACCTTTTGCCACTTTGTGTGCAAATTTACAATGACGGATCGAAAAAAATTAACAAGTTTTCAAGCATGTCTAGGAAACGACTTCATCCACTCAATTCAAACATAATATTACAATAATTTTTCAACTTTTTGCAGTTACGAAAATATTGTAGCGAATGCAATAAATGGTTGGCGCAATATCAGTGAAAGGTGAGGCAATACCTCCCATCCCGATTCATTAATTTTAATCCAGAGTTGTTCTAGATCGATACGTGTTGGAAAGATATAAATTACCATATTTGAGCTTAGAAAACCATATGTGACGTTTGCGAACGCCACATTTGCACTTGGATTAACATCGCAAATGTTTTAGGTAACAACTGTTACGTAATTACTCTTATGGAACTATAAAAAAGCATGCATTGCTGGATTTGTAACTCTTTTGTAATCGTATTTTATTTTATAACCGTCGTTAAACAGCCGACCCAATTTGTGTTTACGACTACCGATGTTCAACTCCGTAGCCTTGAAATAATGCACCCAATCCGGAAGACGAGGGAGCTCCTGGATCAAATATTGGAAGAAATTTGCCTTAGATTTTTAGGTGGAAAACTGAGAAAACTGAACACGGTTAGACTGACGGCAAAGGGACTAACCCATGATCCGTCTACTACTGAGGATATTTTAAGTCAGCACTGTGGTCGGATGCGGAATTCGTGTTGACCAGCCATTGTTGGGTTTCGAACCCGGTCCATCTCATTAGAAAGCGAACGCTATAGCCAAAGCTCTGAGCCACTACGACTCTCTTTTTGTATTTGGCCAATCATTTCAACAAGACCAACAAATATCGAAATGCGCTAAAAACATCACTTTTTGGCTCTTTTTATTTTATAAAACTTAAATCTAGCTTAAATCTCAGGTCTTGTTGAATCCTTATTGTTTTATACAAGTGTAAAATAATATAATCAATTATCTTTTTCTAATTATCCATTCAATTATTTAAACAATTCATGTGAACAGGATGTGCGACGAAAATTGATTATCTGGTGCATTTACGGATTTGCTGAACGAGCATTCTGAATTCGAACTAGAGAAGAGAAACACGAGTTGAGAACGAAATTCTTTCCTCACGCTATCGAAACTGATGATTCAACTGATTTGATTTATAACAAATGTATTAACAAAGCGATGTCCAAAACAATTGGATTGAAGCGGATATTTTGGCTAGTTAAATTATGCGTATGGTATGAGCTTAATTAAAATAGAGAATTTTGGTGATGCAAGAAATCTATTTAAAAAGCCTTGGAAATTGCAAGAAATGCCCCCGAAAACATTAAAAAAAATAATAAAAGTTCCCTTGTAATTAAACAAAAACAATAAATAGTTGAAGATAAGGAGACGTTCAATTATTATGTATTAAGCATTTTGTAATTTGCACATTTTTTGTCGACAAGGGGATATGAGGAACACATACACATATTAACCCCCCCTCCCCTTTATTTTCATAATCTTCTTCAAAAGCAGGCAAAAAACAATAACTAAAAAAAAAAAAAAAATGCTTTGAATTACGGGAAAATTTTTTTTTTCATTGAAGAGTGTCAGAGAAGTTAAGAGTTTCGACGCAAATGTAATAAACAAAATATTCCAAAAGAATGTCCAGTTCAAAATGTATTAAAACGTAAAATTTGTTTGATGCAATGTAAATTCTTACTAAGTTCATTTACAACTAGATCAAAGTAAAAGCAAAAACGAAAGCGGGGGGGGAGTTGAAACTATTTTACATAAGCATGGCAGGGGGGTTTGCAAAAAGCTTATTTTTGCTGTCAAGGTAGGGGGAGGGGAACTGTCAAAAATAAGCTTACGTAATATTTGAATGGCCCCTATTAAATGCTTGGTAGATCACCATAGAATTTTTTAAATTGTTCATAACTAAATTTTTCAGACTCTTTTTTTTTTTTTTTTTTTACGATATCAAAAGTAAGGAATATGAATCGAATAAAGTTCGAAGTAGGGCGTGAATGACATACGAGTAAAATATGTGTTTCCGGTATATTGCTGTGAAGAAAAGAGATCCGATATTTCTTTGCTATTAAATTTAACTCACTCACACACAGGTGTCTTCAGTGAGAATCAAAAATAATAATAAAGAATTTGCGGAATCTTTTTACTGTATCAGCAGACACAGACAAATAGAAATTTAGGAAGAATAATGAAGCATAAAGAGAAGTTTAGAAGCATTTATTATTTTATTTATTCTTTCTTTACTTACTCTTCCCGTAAAATAAATATGGATGTAAAATGCAAAATCACATTTTTTAAAGTATCAAATTGACAGTACAGTAATATTCACAAAAGTAATTTTTTTTCCAAAATTAATAATAATTATCACATTACTGACTTAATTGGCTTTTGTCACTGATGCTTACGAACCGATAGACTATTAATAGAGGCTATCGGCTGATTAATAAATAAATATTATTTATCTAATAGTATATAATGAAATTAAAGATTTTACTACATTTAATTATTTTATAACACAAATGGGGCAATTTAATCGGAGCACACGAAGAGCACAGGTCTAAACCTAAACAGAAGTAACAAGAACTACGGCCGGAGCAGCGGTTCCTAATTTTTATCATCTATTTTTGGCGGAACTCGAGACTGAATGGATAATTTCAAAATCAATTTTATTTTATTTCACAACCGTTGAAAAGTAATTTTTGGGTTTACGACTATAAATGTCCAACTCCGTAGCCTTGTAATTTTGAACCCAATCTAGAAGGCAAAGGAACTCCTGCATCAAGTAGTGGGGGAAATTTGTCTTCGTGGAGGACTTTTTGATGGAACTAATGCATTACATGGAGAGGAAAACCACGAAAACCTTCCACGGTTAGCCTGACGGCAAGAGGACTCACCCAGGATCCGTCTACCATTCAGGCTATTTCTTACGTAAGCACTGTGGGTGGTGCAAGCCGGATGTGAAATTTGTATCGACCAGCCATAGCTGGGATTCGAACCCGCATCAACTCATTAGAAGACGCAAGCTCTATCCCCTGAGCCATCACGGCTCTCGTTACCAATTTTATTTTATAACCAACGTTGAACAGCCGACCCAATTTTGGTTTTACGACTGCTAATGC